GATAATTTAATGATTTTATTTTCTCATGATTTTAATGAGCTAATAAATAGGAAAAAACATGCAGTACATTATTTCCTTAGAATCTTCAAGCTCACAATATGATACAAATCCACTTTAAAAAGAACTTCCTTACACAACATAACCTATTATAAGACAAACATTACTTGCTTCCTAAAAAACACAACATGATATTGCTAAAGCAAAGCCTGTGTTGATACTCATAAGGATTATTGGCCTCTTACGAGAAGAGGAACTGCAGTGTAATTGGTGGTCTCTGTTTCATTCCAGAGCACAGATTACACAAACACTCAGCCAGAGTTTAGGATGGCAAACTCCTGGAGCAGGGGCCGGCGTGAGGGAAAAACACACACACTCTCCACTAAAACTACAGTACATCAGCACCGACAACATTTAATTGTGCATCAGTGTACAATGATAAAGCAATCTGATACTTACAGGCAAATCATAATATGCTCTTCCTGTTGTTAATATAGTAGTGCTTGTTATAAATCATGTACCAGTGCACTTCATTATTTTGTAAAAAAAAATAATAATTTGCCGTCATAATCTTTTATCAAAAACCAAAACCTTCCATACTGAATTAAAATTATTATTATTGTTATTTTTTTTTATTACTGGTCATGGGATTTCTTTAGGGCGGAGCTATCATTTATTTAGGGCGGAGCTATTGTAACCCTGCCGGTCCTACACCAACTAAGCCGCTTCAAGCTGGGATCGAACTGGCAACTTTCCGCATGGTAGTCGGTTGCTCTAACAAGGAAGTTAAACACTGTGGCCTCCAGCATCTGCCGCTAGAGCACATTTAGTGGTCAGAGGAGTGAGGTTTACCTGCACAGCACTTACTAGCTGGCCTCTGTTAGACTATCAGTCACTTAGAGTGCGGTTATCATTTCTTTAGGGCTGAGCTATCGATCATTAAGGGCGGGGTTATCATTCCTTTAGGGCGGAGATATCTATTATAAAGGGCTGGGTTATCATTTCTTTAGGGCGGAGCTATAGGTAATTTAGGGCGGGTTATAATTTTTTTTTAGGGCTGAGCTATCTGTCATTTATGGTGAGGTTATCATTTATTTAGGGCGAAGCTATCGATCATTTAGTTCAGGGTTACCATTTCTTAAGGGTGGAGCTATCAGTCATTTAGAGCGGGGTTATCAGTTATTTAGGGCAGAACTATCAATCATTTAGGGTGGAGCTATTAATCACTTACGGAGGGGCTATCAGTTATTTAGGGCAGAGTTATCAATCATTTAGGGAGGGGCTATCAGTCATTTAGGGAGGGGCTATCAGTCATTTAGGGAGGGGCTATCAGTCATTTTGGACGTGGCTACCAGTTATTTAAGGAGAAGCTATCAGTTATTTAAGGCGGGGCTATCAGTCATTAAAGCAGAGCTATCATTCATTGAGGGTGGGGCTATGAGTCTTTCGGGGCATAGCTATTAGTAATTTAGGGAGGAGCAATCAGTTATTTAGGGTGGAGCTATTAGCCATTTAGGGCGCAGCAATCGAACATTTAGGGCAGGGCTATCAGTCATTTAGGGCGGGGTTATCTTTCTTTAGTGCGGGGTTATCTTTCTTTAGGGCGGGGTTATCATTTCTTTAGGGTGGGTTTATCTTTCTTTAGGACGGGGTTATCATTTCTTTAGGGCGGGGTTATCTTTCTTTAGGGCGGGGTTATCATTTCTTTAGGGTGGGTTTATCTTTCTTTAGGACGGGGTTATCATTTCTTTAGGGCGGGGTTATCTTTCTTTAGGGCGGGGTTATCTTTCTTTAGTGCGGGGTTATCTTTCTTTAGGGTGGGGTTATCATTTCTTTAGGGTGGGTTTATCTTTCTTTAGGACGGGGTTATCATTTCTTTAGGGTGGGGTTATCATTTCTTTAGGGCGGGGTTATCATTTCTTTAGGGTGGGGTTATCATTTCTTTAGGGTGGGTTTATCTTTCTTTAGGACGGGGTTATCATTTCTTTAGGGCAGAGCTATAGGTCATTTAGGGCGGGTTACAATTTTTTTAGGGCAGAGCTATAGGTCATTTAGTTCAGGGTTACCATTTATTTTGGGCGGAGTTATCAATCATTTAGTTCAGGGATCCCATTTTTTAAGGGTGGAGCTATCAGTCATTTAGAGCGGGGTTATCATTTATGTAGGGCAGAGCTATCAATCATTTAGGGAGGGGCTATCAGTAATTTAGGGCGGAGCTATCAATCATTTAGGGTGGAGCTATCAGTCATTCAGGGCAGAGTTATCAATCATTTAAGGAGGGGCTATTACATATTTAGGGCGTGGTCATCTGTCATTTAGGGCAGAGCTATCAGTCATTTAGGGAGGGGCTATCAGTCATTTAGGGCGAACTATCAATCATTTAGGGCAGAGCTATCAAAAATTTAGATAGGGGCTATCAGTCATTTAGGGAGGGGCTATCAGTCATTTAGGGAGGGGCTATCAGTCATTTAGGGCGAACTATCAATCATTTAGGGCAGAGCTATCAAAAATTTAGATAGGGGCTATCAGTCATTTTGGGAGGGTCTATCAGTCATTTAGGATGAGGCTACCAGTTATTTAGGGAGGAGCTATCAGTTATTTAAGGCGGGGCTATCAGTCATCAAAGGCAGAGCTATCATTCATTGAGGGTGGGGCTATCAGTCTTTCAGGACATTGCTATTAATAATTTAGGGAGGGGCTATCAGTTATTTAAGGCGGGGCTATCAGTCATCAAAGGCAGAGCTATCATTCATTGAAGGTGGGGCTATCAATCTTTCAGGACATTGCTATTAATAATTTAGGGAGGGGCTATCAGTTATTTAGGGCGGGGATATAATTTCTTAATGCCGAGGCTATCAGTTCTTTATGGCAGGGCTATCAGTTCTTAAGGGTTCTTATCTCATTTCTACTCTTCCTTTATCCGTTTATCAATATTTTGCCATTTTACTAGCATCACCCATCTTTAAACAAGTCAATCAGTTTTCAAAGGATAAAATTATGCACTGTCACACATTTTTTTTAAACTAATTTTAGGAGCATTTCAAGTGGATATACATCATGATAGAGGAAAAAAAGTTTCACATATTTTACAGGCCTCTCTCATGAATGATGATGAACACGGTTGTATTAGCATAAACACAACCCTGATTGACATACAGTTTACTGATTCCTGTAAACTGGGCCCGCCCATGACTTTTTAAGGACACTACCTTATTAGCATAAATGTATAGACCCCGTAGCCCTGCATTCACTAAATGAAAGTTTTTTGAAACCAAACTGCTTTCGATTTTCCCCCCACAAGCAGCAGCTCATTTGCATTTAAAGAGACACAAAACATTTCCCAGAGATGGGTTGTGGCTGGAAGGGCATCCGCTGCGTAAAAACTTGCTGGATAAATCGGCGGTTCATTCCGCTGTGGTGACCCCGGATTAATAAAGAGACTAAGCCGACAGGAAAATGAATGAATGAGACACAAAACAAAAAAACAACAACAAACAAACAGCATGTTATATTTCTCATGGAAAATAAGAAAAGGTAAACGTAATATAATAGTAGGGGTGTAAAAGTACACGCTGGTAAGGGTCTTTCATTACAGTGTCTAGCTTTACATCTTCACTGACTGAATCAATATTGACTCTGAAACCCCAAGATCAATCATTTAGTCTCTGGCGTTTCAGCTGATGTGTGAAGGAAACTTCACTCCACATTATATAGCACAGCTCCTGTCCAGTCACCACAAGATTTGTGTTTTGCTACTGTCAATAAGAAACAAAGGCTCGTCTTTCATATTGTTTCCAGTCTATCAAGAAAGTCCTCTCATAACTGCTGTTGTTGTGGCTCAAATCGCTGTATATGCACCTCAGTTTAAACAGCAGTAAGTCAACAGCATAACTCTTTCCTCTTTACTACTACTTAAAGCACCAATTAAATATGAATGACTATCACATGTAAACTAATTACATAACACCAGAGAATTGGCATGGCTATAATATTAGAGCAAATTAATTGCATTTACATTAATCAATAGTAAAAGACTGAGCTTTACCTGACACTTAAAGAAATATAATTATATTTAACCGTAACATATTTGTTGAATGGAGTCTAAATCAGATCATAATGGCATTGTGATAATGGTGAATTTTATCATATCGCTAGCTGCTTCATATATACAGTTGAAGTCAGAATTATTAGCCCTCCTTTGAACTTTATTTTATTTTTTTAAATATTTCCCAAATGATGTTTAACAGAGCAAGGAAATTTTCACAGTATGTCTGATAATATTTATTTTGTTCTGGAAAAAGTCTTATTTGTTTTATTTAGGCTAGAATAAAAGCAGTTTAAATAAAAAAATGAAAAATAAAAACATTTTAGGGACAAAATTATTAGCCCCTTTAGGCTATTTTATATTCAATAGTCTACAGCAGGGCTATTCAATCGGTGGCCCACGGGCCGAATCCAGCCCCCGAGGCACTTGTGTGGCAAGTAGCCGTGTAATAAGCAGGATAAAGTACATCCAGACGTTATTTCTTTTGTTTTTTTTGTTCACAGATCAAAGCATATATAACAGTGTTCATGTCAAGCTGCCAATAAGCTTGTCGGGTTTTATTCCCCACATATCATTTGTCTAAATATTATATGCCTTATAATATTGATATGCCAATAATCTGCCAAAAGTGTAAGCAAAATAATCTTGTTTTTTACTATAAAGTAAGATTATTTTAGCCCACCCTGTTGACCAATTATATTGCTTGTTTTAATTGAGTTTTGACTCAATATTTCTGAGAACAAGACAATATTTATTGCTTGTCTAAAAACGCTTTCTGATTTAAGATTTTTTGAGATATTTGCACCAAAACAAGGCTAAAATTCAAAGAAAAGCTTTTTTTTTTTTGCAGTCTATGGCAAATTTAATGTCTTGATTTTTGCAGCATAATACTTTTTAGGTCATAAAACTCTTACAATAACCGCTACTAACACTCTAGTTATTTTTTCCAATGAATATTTTAATGAGTGTCATACCAAAAATGAAAGCTACGAGTTTTTAAACTACAGTGCAAGATTAAAATGCATTCGACTGTTCTCAGAACAGAATTAAATGAGATTTGGGAGATGCAGGTAGAGTACCTGGGTCCGAGCTCATCTTCACTTCTCCACACAAAGTCTCCAAACTTCTCATAGTGTGAGTTGTAGTGATGCTGAACGCGATACAGCAGCGGCGGAGAGATCTCCATCAGGGTGTTATAGGCCGTCTGCTGCTCCTTTCCACTCGTGTAGCCATTATACAGGTTGTAAACTTTGTCTGCGATCTCTGTGAGAGGACAAAATACTGAAAATTGGAAATCTAAACTCAACATTTTAGCTAGATCACCTGAAAGTTTTTAGTCAATTTATGGGTTAAACATGACATTAAACATAAACAGATTTTATTGATTGGTTATTGACACGTTTTGTGAAACCTTGGGAAAAAGAAATACACTTCAGCATATAAACTGCACATTAAACAGGACTGAAATTATAACATTGTGCTTTTTAGATTTATATTACAAGCTTTTAGCTGAACAGTAGAGTGTATTTGTTATGTATTGCATGAGTTTATTTTTAATGCCTAATTTGTCCAATTTAATAACTAAATAAAACAGTTAGCATTGCAATCAAAGTGAAGAAATGCAAATATCCCCACTATCAACTGATCCTCAAGTGATTTCCAAACCTATATGAGTTTCTTTCTTCTGCTGAACACAGAAGGAGGAATTTCGAAGACAGCCGGAAACCAGTAACTATTGACTTGCATAGTAGGACATGCAAATACAATGGACGTTTTCTTTTAAATTGATTTGCTTATGTTCAACAGAAAGAAACTTGTAAAGGTTTGACGCAAGTAAATGATGAATAAATGAAGACAAAATGTTAGGGGTGAATTATCCCTTTAAGATGCTTAATAAGTTATTCAACAATTTAACATAAGCGTACTCCGTGTATGATATCAAAACAACAATTGAAATGGACATTACAAAGTGCAATGCTGGCTGTTTATTATTCAGTATTTTGGTACTACTCAAAATAAAATAAAAAATTAAATTAAATTAAATTAAAAATTATATAATAAAAAAAATAAAAATATAAAATATAAAATATAATATAATATAATATAATAAAAAATAATATAATATAATATAATATAATAATATATTTAATAAAATAAAATATATAATGTAATATGATATAATATGATATAATATAATATAATATAATATAATATAATATAATATAATATAATATAATATAATATATCATAATATAATATAATATAATATAATATAACATAACATTATATAATACAATATAATATAATATAATATAATATAATATAATATAATATAATATAATATAATATAATATAATAATATATTGAATAAAATAAAATATATAATGTAATATGATATAATATGATATAATATAATATATTATAATATAATATAATATAATATAATATTATATAATATTATATAATATAACATAACATAATATACTATACTATTATATTATATAATATAATATAATATAATAATATATTTAATAAAATAAAATATATAATGTAATATGATATAATATGATATGATATAATATAATATAATATAATATAATGTAATATAATATAATATAATATAATATAATATAATATAATATAATATAATATAATATAATATAATATAATATAATATAATATAATATAATATAACATAATATAATATAATATAATATAATATAATATAATAATATATTGAATAAAATAAAATATATAATGTAATATGATATAATATGATATAATATGATATAATATAATATAATATAACATAATATAATATACTATAATATAATATAATATAATATAATATAATATAATATAATATAATATAATATAATATAATAATATATTGAATAAAATAAAATATATAATGTAATATAATATGATATAATATGATATAATATAATATAATGTAATGTAATATAATATAATATAATATAATATAATATAATATAATATAATATAATATAACATAATATAATATAATATAATATAGTGGAATAACTGCACACTTTAAATCATTTATTAAGCATTAGCAAATAGTCAATCATTAGTAAAGCATTAACTCTACATTAATATATGTTAGTAAGCCATTTATAACAACATCTAGAGTAGAGATGCTGAACTCTTCACTTTTAAGCTTATGTATAATGTGTCTAATGATCGTGTTGTCATACTTTGTTAATGATTCATTTTTCACTACTAAGTTATGTATTGCACTATTACAAAGCAGTTATTTTAGAGTAGCAGGTGGTTTTTAAGATCATCCAGAATGCTTAAATAATTATTTGCTAATGCTTAATAAATGATTTATAGTGTGTAGTTATTATCAAGTGTTCTCTTTCTATTATAATTTGTACACATTGTGCTAAAAGTGCACATTTAATGAAACAATCTAAGTGCAGCTTTTTTCCGCA